TCCCGGCATTAAAAATAATAACTGGATAATGCCTAGTTGAGGGTTTAGCATTTAAGCTCTTTAAAATCAATCCAAAGCTCAGGCACTGAATGCACATCATTAAACCGCGGTCAAGACTAAATCATTAACTAATACCTGTTGTTCTGTTTTTCTTTTTAGACCTCCAAAAGGAAGCGTGGCTACATTAAGAATAAACTAATTTTAAAGAAAGGCAAGAGACCCAACAGGAAGACAGTTTAAACACACTGTTCTGATTGCTAATACGAAGCAGTTGTCCTTGAGATAACCAGTCTTTGCCTTTAGCTCAAATCATGTTTCACAGCAACATGAGGGTACAGAACCATCATTGGTCCAGATTATTGTACAAAATTTTCAGGCAATGTCTGATTAAAAATATTGGCTTATTGAGAACAGCTGTTTTAGATTTGTAATGTGAAGCAAGACAGAGCTGCTATCCAAGTCTAGCAGCATTTTTTTTATTGGTACATATTATCCTTCAAATCTGTTGAAAATTTGGACTGACTTTACCAAAGAACCCTGTAATTTGGTCCTTGGCACATGCATTACTTGTCAATCTTTTCTGGAGAACACTGTTCAGCTGAATAGCAGCAGTATGAAAACTGGAATGGTGACATCTGAAAATGACTTTTTCAACAAGAAAGAGATGGCAGAGCTCTCTCAAATTCAACTTTCAAAACGAGTTACTCCCATGATTATTTTTCAATGGTTTCTTTCCATGTCCTTTTACTCTTGCTGCAGGCTGGTTTTGAGCTGGAGTGTAAGAAGCAAAGCTGCAGTTTTCACAAGAGGTGACAGGACAGATTAATTGGACAAGCTGCTTTTGTTCAACACGGGATTGCAGTATTGCTGCCTTACACTGTCATTTCACAAGGTAGACAAGGCAAATCTTGCACACTGTAGATACAAGGGCTAAATTTGTAACTTCCTGAAAGATCTGAAACGACAGTAATGAATGCTCTAACAACGTACAACTGAGCACCATGGAGCTGCTGGTGCTTCAGAACAGAAATTAAACTATTTTAGGTGAATGTTTACATTGGTAAAACAAGTATAGCCTGCTTATTGGGGAAAAGAAGGTTGACAGGTATACAAACCCCTTTTCTGTGGCTATCAGAGGTAGAAGATTTGCAAACCTCTTCAGCCCTCACTGCCTTTCTGGCAAGGGTGGAAGTTTTTCTGGAAATCTGTTTCTCTGCATTTTATTTGGAGTGCTTAAATCAACTGAAGAAATTCCTGCTCTAGTGCTATTTGCTTTGTCTGTCTTTTATACTGGTTTGGTTTGGGTTTTTTTTAAGTGGTGAAAACTGTCAGATTAAATGCACTAAAATATAAATGGAGACTGAACGTGTTCACTTTCCAGATATACGGAAACTTTATACAGACTTGAAATTTTTCTTTAATTAAAATGAAAGGGTTTTTTTGCAGTTTTCCTGCCACAAGTTGTAACTTTTTATAGAAACAAATCTTGCATCAATAACTTGATGTAAAATGCAGAATAGTATGTACCTTTCATGAAGAAAATGTAAATTTACAGTGTTCTGTGAGAATGTTACTGCTGACTTCTTTCCCAAGGTGTAGAATATTTTTTTGATTTATGAGCTCATTTTTGACTCCAGTGGTTTATACAGACCAATACTACAGCTGCAACATTTTCACAAAGGTAATTAAATCTGGATTTCTGGCCCCCGCCGTTTGGAGATTTCATTTTATTTTGTTGCTTTAAAGCTCAATGCAGACCAGTTGTCAACTGTAGGGGAAAATAAAGTTAATTCAAGTTTTGTGTTAAGGCTGTTGTGTCAGTTTTGTTGTGATTAACTTGGTAACATGCTGCTGTAGTGAAGCCACAGCATCTTCTTAACTTCCTCCAGCTTAAACTAAGCCAAATCCAGGGCCTCTGCTGTGATGAAATTAAGGTGGTTGTCATATTTCCAGGGAAGAGCAGCCTGCCTTCCCAACCACACATTGCAGCAACTCCTTCCAGCATCTGGAGCTCCTCAAGCTGCTACAGCTGCTCACCCACCAGCAGAAGGGCTGATTGATGAGGTGATGCACGATTCCTAGTGTCGTGCTGCTTCCAAGCCAATCTGCATCCTGACCATGGGTGAGAAATAAGGGATCTAACATTTGGAAGATCACCTGAAAGGCAGCAGGACAGAGGCTGCCAGTCAGTCTGTGGCTTGGCAGTAACTCAGCCTTGTTTTAAGAAAGGAAATACAGGATTGCCCTCCCCTCTTCAGGTATCTTTACAGTTGGACAGACTGACTTCAGCCTTAGGTAGCAGTGTTCTCTTTAACAGCAGAAACAAGTGAATCTGAGGCATGTGAAATAAAAATAAGCCAACTGCAGGGATCCCAGCCAGCCTGGGCCTGAAGTTGCCTACTACTTACCTGAGCTTTATTATTTTTCCTAAATCTAACGTGACTTCAAGGATTCTGCCAATGTTCTACAGTTAAAATGAAATAAAAAGTTGGGAGTCATTGAGGCATCCACATAGAAAAAGCAACATTACAAAGAACTGGCACTGTCTCACCTTCCTTGGGTCCTCAGGAATCTGCACACCGGGTATGTTTACAGCTGGATCATGGAATCAAACAGCTAAACTCACTCCTGCCTCTTTGGGAGAACTGAACAGCGCTTCTGCCAGCAAAGACTATCAGCATCTTCCCTCTTCATCACACACACAATTCCCAGACTAGTTTATTTCCTTAGCTCCAGCCATCCTTTTTCCTTTATTTGTTTTTTGAAGTATAATTGTCACAAAACAGTAAAAAAAAAACCAAAAGAAACCCCCACCAAAACAATAAAACCAAACAACAAAAGACCAGTGAGCCAGGCTCAGGTCAGCAGTTGCTAAGGAACTAAAGCTGCAAGTGTCTAGAACTCAATAATACTGCATAGCTTCTGTATTTCTTAATCATTACTGGTGGGAGCAGTGAGGCAGACAGTGCTGTTGGTAATCCCAGAAGAAATATTTTGACTTGAAGAAGTAATTTCATAACAAGGAGAAAAGTTGTTAATTAATGTCTTGATAGATTTACTCCTGAAAAAGCTGCTGAATGCTTTGACAGAGCCCCTGGTACATACCAGTCTCATCAGGAGTAAAAACTGAAAAAAATAATACTTGGCTGTGACTAAAACGCCCTCACATCTTTAACCCAAGTGGATAAACTGCTCCAAGATGGGGCCTTGAAGCAATGCCATGGAAGGCAAGGAACAGGGCTGGGTAGTGTTTCCTGCCCTATTTACAGGCAGCGTTGTTTTCCGTTTTGCATAAAAACAAAGTGTTCCAGCAAGATTGTTTCCAGCACACTGGATGAATGTTTAAAGAAAACCAGAAGGGCATTATTCAACACTTGAAAAATGCTGACCACGATCTGTGTGATTCCTTTAAGAACATTTTTTCTCCTCACGCAAGTGTCCAATGCTGCAATAATGTAGAGGTGCGTTTTAAGAGGTTCTAATCAAGAATCTCTGTTGGTGATAAAGATTAAATGAAATGGGATTTTCAGAAACAAGGGTACACCTTTTCCTATTTCCTTTTTACTTGCCAAAATGAAGCAGATGTTCCCCAGCCTTTCCTAAAGCTGTTGTTGCTGCCCAGCTCTGTTTTCCCTGGGTAGAGCTATCCAATTTAACCAAAGAACTTACCTTCAGAGTGTCTGGGAGAATAAGCAGGGTGGAAAAGCCTCGCACCACACCGGGATTAACCTAGCAAACTTCCATGGGAACCATGCTCAGGTGTCATACACAGCTCCTGGACAGTCAGTGACTGACACCACTGAACTAAGGCTTCCATGGAAAGAGAAAGGGCATTCCACTACTAAATGAAACAAATTTTTATTCATGAGCATTCTCATTTTAAATTAACAAATTACGAAAGGAAGGCAAATCAGAAGAGACTGCCAGAGCATCTTTTAAATGATAAAGGTATAAATTTTCTTTCTGAACATTTCTAATTTAAGAAAGAAAAAGGTTGCATAGGCTTTCTACAGGTGTGCACAAAAAAAAAAAAAGTACATGGAAGTTTTTACATTACAATTCAGTGTACATCAGCTACTTGAAAAGGAAAGTATTTACTTGCAATTCCAAGACAGCTATTGGAACGACCTACAGAATAAGGCTTATGAATATTTACTTTTCAGTCCTGCAAAATATACTGAACACATACTATCAGAAAAATAAAATGACACTTGTGAATCTTGTTCTGGAATCTCTCACTGATGGGATCTTTTCTGAAAGGACTTTTTACTTTCATGTCTCCCAAGTTAATTTGGGAAAGAAGCAGTGGTAATGGCATCAGGGGATTCTTCATAGCATCAGAACGGAAGAAAAGATTGGCCAGAGCACAAGTGGAATGTCCTCAGCATGCAGAAACAACCAACCATGCAGACAGAGAAAATCTTCAATAAATTACAAGCAGAAAATTATTCAAATTTCTCCTCAAAAGAACAGCTACAGCATCTCTGTAGCCTTGACAGTCACACCATCCCAGCTGAAAGAGATCCACTCCTTCAGGGGCCCAGGCCTGCATGCCTGAGACACAGAGGTTTGCAATGGCTATTTAGTGAGTATGTGTCTTGTTCTTTGGTGTGTGAGAGTGTTCTGGGAGGATGTTCCATGGGTTTAACTCTGCTTTTTCCATTGTTCTTTGTGATGATACTACAAACTGTAGGAATACTTTTAGGTACTTATCAGACTAATCTCTAGAACAAGAGTGGATCCATTATAAAGTGAATTCTTGCAGGTGATAAAGTACAAGTGTTCCTGATGGTACTCAGTAGCAGTTCAGTGATTACTGCAACAGCATCATTTTGGTTTTGTTACAGAAAACTGTTACATCAACTATTCCTAAAAAATAAGTTGGTTTTTTCCCTCTTAAAAAAAAAGTGTCAGTTACAAAACCAAGCTCATACAATCCACTTTTTTTTTTTTAAAAATAGGATTTAAATCATTTAGAACATGAATCTTTCTAATGTGCAAAAAAAAAAAAAAAAAAAAAAAAAAGACAAGAGGACTAAATAGATTTAGGAGGAAAAGTAGCCACACCTTCCTTAAATAGACATCTGAAGTTCAAATTCAAAGGAACAACTAATGGAATGTTTCCTTGTGCACACACCTCCTCCGCTCAGCCTTCTGAGCTGCTCAAGAGATTTGAACATCTACTGAAAAAACAAAATACAGGACATAAGGACAGATGTGAGCCGTGCTTTGACCTAGATATCTCTGTAGTATAAGCATAGGTCAGTGTATGAACAAAGCAGACAAAAGGCACAAAATTACTCAGCTCTACAGACGGGCATCCATGCTACTGTGTGTTAGAAATACAGTGGTTTTGTTACGGGGCACTGTGGAAAGAAGCACTGAGCACATTTTACACGTGCCTTTTGCTGCCAGCTCTCTCAAAAATATCTTCATTTCCAACAAATACAAACTAAGAAGCGACACAGCCTTAACACACTTCTAGAATCCACTTTGTCAGTATCACAGTGGTTACCTTACAAAGCAAGATCAAGCAACAGGAGTTTTTAATTTTTCTTTTTAACACTACAAAACAAATTGTATCCCATTTCATTTGCTTCATTCATAAAGTTATTGTCTCAGCGGAATAATTTACTAAATTGTTACTTTTACATCAGTGAATCATTTATCTGGGAAGGCTAGTTATATCACCTCTACTCATCCAGATGTTTTATCAGAAGCAATCCCATTTAGTGGAACGTGTAAGCCAGAAGTGTTGGCATGACAGCAGCCAGAGAACATTACACAGCAAGATCAAAGTTACCAGAGCAGCTGGCTCGGGGTGGTGACCAGAGATCGACTGAACAGCTGGAGATGAACAGACAAAGCAGCGAGGACACAACGGGTTAGTGTGAAGAACAACATTCTGGAGAAGGTATTGCTACTTCTTATAGGGTGGTAGGAAATTCACACTCGCCAGTGACAGGAAACACGCCCTGAACTCGGCAACCCAGAGTGGGCACAGCCAGTGGATCATTCTTATGTCAAAGTGAGTTACTCGCTGACTGTTCAGACAGATCGACTGCCGTTAAGAGACACGTCACGTTTTAAGTGCAAAACATTTTTGGCAAAAGTGAAAAATAGAAAAACCTTAACAAGTACTAATAAAAAAGTATTTTCTTAAATACTAGCACAGGGCCTGATCCTGCAAGCACACAACTCAGGGAACCCCGGCCGAGGCCAGCCAGGGTTCTGTGCCCTAACACTTGGAGGAAAAGGTCTCTGAGTCGCTATTGGTGTTGGTACTGTTTACATGTAGTGTAAATAACACACACAACACATGCACACCGTGGGTACTTAGGGACGTGTGCCTGTGTGTCTGTGGATCTGCACACACAAAATGGCTCCTGAATAAACTCGAGCTCCTGGTTATTTTGAGATGCATCAATCACAGTACACAGCTTCCCGTGGGGATCTTCTGGGAACAGGACCTATCCAAGGACATCCTGAAGTTACATACTGTATCATTTTAATGCCTTTCAGGTAAAGTTACGAGGCAACTGCTCTCTCCTGTCAGTGGGTCTTCCAGAGAGGATTCACGTACAGCCAGCCGTCACCCTGTAAGAAAATTAAGCAAAGTTTACAAACAAGATTTATAAATACCATATTTGTATGTCCACACAAAAGCTAAAATAAGACCAAACAAGAAGCCATCCCTGTCACCTCAAAATTCTGTGTTTAAAGAATTGACAAGTAAGGTAGGCGGGAGGGAAAAAATTACAAGGGGGAAGGGATGCAATGGGAAGATGCAAGAGATGCTGACTTAAATAGCAGCTAATGGAACCATTTCCTCAGTCTCCTTTCCCCTTCACCTTTCCTCCAAGAAAGGGGAAAGATGAACTTGGTAAAATTTGTTTCCTTTCACGCACATGAAACCCAAGACTGTGTTTAGGATGTCAATACTTACTTACATTGGATAAATCTCCCTAGATTGTGCTCATTTTAGTATGCTAAGATTATAGGGGAAGTGAGTATGCAGAATTTGAGAAGTAAGGGCTGGATTTTACAGAAAAAACACATCACTTTATTTGCCTAACATTAGGCACCAAAAATCCAGATCAAAATCAATCTAACTGAAGAAAAGTGAACAAGTTCACAACACAGACATGGAAAAGCCCACTGCTCTCATTCAAGAGCCAGACTCTGTCAGAAAGAAAATTTAAGCAATCAGTGGTACATAACAACACTAGCCCATGACAAAAGCCACAGACATTGACTTGTCCCCTGTGCAGAACTTGCTAAAGGTCTAAACCAAGAAACTCCAAGTACCTCTTTGGCAAAGTATTTGGGTTTCCAGGGAGTTGTGAGCGCCGCTCGCTGCCGCTCCTCTGCTCGCTGTCTCTCTTCCAGGCGGTGCTTGTGCTCCGTGGCGGCATCGATGTTCCCCTCCTTCAGAGAGTTGGTGACCTGCTGCCACAGGCGCCTGCCCAGGGAGAAGGAGCACAAGGGAGGGTGAGAACAGCTCTGCCACAGCCCACCGCTGCTGGACGCCAGACTGGTGAGCAGCAGGCTGAGGCCACGCTATCCATGCTGGTTTTCCAAGTCCCACAGCTTGGGAACCATCACTCTGCTAGGATATTCATCACATTTGTGGACCAGATTTTCAGATTCACTCAGCTCCCAGTATTTTGCAGTGCAATTTTCTCAGCAGACTCTGTTTATGTTCTCTTCACCACCTGAGCTTTTTTTCTCAAAGCAAGTGGTTTTATTTCTACCATTTCTAGTTCACATTCCTTACTGATGTTCCTCCATCCCCCAAATAGCAGGCGTTTAATTCTGCATTTTTTGCAGGTAATTTTTTGAATTATAAAGGAGTGTCAGCCAAAACCCAAGAGTGCATTGAGTGGTCCAACAAGGTCACTAGCAGAGGAACTGATTCTAGGGAGCCCCTGTAGTCTGTGCTCTGTATTCCCAGTTACAATATTTACCAGCACAGAGCTACACGCTTCTCACACAGCTGACCACGCCCAGACACAGTGCCTTAGATCAGCCTAGCAGAAGCTTTGCCCAGAAAAGCACTGAGAAAAACCCTCATAGAATGGTTTGGGTTGGAAGAGACCTTAAAGATCCTCTAGTTGCACACTCCCTGCCATGAGCAGAGACACCTCCCACTAGACCAGGCTGCTCAGAGCCCCATCCAACCTGGCTTTGAGCAATGCCAGGGATGGGGCATCCACACCTTCTGGGTAATCTGTTCCAGTGCCTCACCACCCTCACAGTAAAGAATTCCTTCCTAATATCTAATCCAAACTGCTCTCTGTCTGAAACCAACCATAGCTTTCACATCTGTCCAGGGCTGTTTACATGAGATTGTGTTCACAATGTGATAAACTGCAGATCCTGCAGAGCCACTGGATGGATGCAATTTGCTGACTAGTATCTAAAAAACACAATAAATACACTGAAAAGCTACTGGTTTCCTTATTTACTACAATCTTTATGTTCCACACTACAGGGGAAAAATGAGTTTGTGGATAAGCAAGTGGTCTAGAAAGTAGACAAATTGTATTTAACCCTGCACAATGACTCAAGACACCTTTGTAAAATAAAAAGACATTTACAGATAATAAAATGTAGTTTAACTCATATTTTTAAAACCTTCAATGAAATCTTCCTAAATTCAATTAAAGTATCGATTTTTCTGAAGATAAACATCAAGAGTTATTGACAGTGAATACAGAACAGGTTTTTTTCTAATGTATCTAGTCCAAGTTAGGCACATGATGTAGGTTCCAAGAGCCTCAAAACGACCTGTATGTGTGTCTTTATATCATACTGCCTCACATTTTATATATGTTTATACAAATATATATTCTAAAATATATAAAACATGAAGCACCAGTTTCAATGATATGCAACATACAATATACATACCAGTTTGAATTGTTTCCAACAAACTGACTGATTTGCCTCCCATGTTGCAATCACTCCAAGAAGCAGGTGAAAACACTGCATTACCATTTTCCAAATGCTCATTAAAACAAATATAGGCATTTTTCCCATCTACAAAATTGATGTACTCGTCACTACAGTGTAATTTATGCTCCAAGGAACCAATACACAGCCTCAGCTCTCTGTGCCCAGATTTTGTGCTGTAGGAAGCAAGGAATTTTTGAACCACAGCACTCAGAGCTGCAGTTGGCTTCCCTGCTCTGTTCCCACCCAAAGTTCAGCACTGCAAAGCCTCTGCCCTTACCTTGATTCCAGTGGCCCTTGGTTTGCTGTGGGCCTGATCTTTTTCCTGATAACAGGCAGTTTGGTGGTGTCGATCACTTTGGTGTCTCCGTTGCTGTAAGTGAACTCCAGGGTGCCATTCCATTCTCCCTGTGCCTTGCACACAATGGTGTTCGTTGGATTGTGCTTCACTTCAGCTGTAACCCTGATTCAAGGGGGAAGGAAAAACAGACCACAGAAATAACTGGTACCATTTATTAGCAGCACATGACAGCACTACCTTGCTGAGGGTGCAAGCAGCCTTCTACCTCCACAAATCAATTATTCAGGCAAAGTAGTGATGCTGCCTCCAAAAAAGAAAGACTCATCACAGGAAAGCTCCTCTAACACAGCAACAACTTTGGGATGACATTCTACCTAAGTACAGTAGTAACCCATCTTAAAATTGTGATACTCAGCTCGAGCCCAGACCAAATGGTTACCTCAGCAGCCTGAAAAACAATCCCTGACATCCATGTGACATTTGCAATACATGACACTTTCATGCTGGAACATAATGCTGTCAGAGGCAATGATTAAAGCCACCTCGCCAGTCAAAGAACTGGTCTGAGAGTGAGCAAAATAGACAGGTAGGATTGGAAAACTGAAATGCAGGGAGAAGTTCTGTGAATGTGTCCATGAGCATGCACACATGTGCTTTAGAAAGCCATGTAATGTGCAAACTCAATTTTTTAATTACTAAAGTAATACAGCACAACATCCCCAAATTTTTATTCACCCTGATGGCACCAATTATTTATCTACAACTTTTAAAGAAAAACCATGTCAAAACAGCCCCATGCAAACATTTACCTGTACACAACATTGAAATCTGAAATAAAACAGAGGTAACCATGCAAAGCACAGTCTCCTCTGGACACTGCAGCAGTCCACAGCAGAACAAGAAAGGGATCTGATGTTAATGACCAGGACATCAACCTGAGCATGGAAGCAAGCAGGAGGCTGTCCTGCACAGAGCCTCTTTGCACCCTTAGTAAAGGGGAACCAAAGAAGACAAATAACATTTTCACCATCTGGAATTTCAGTGAAGAGGCAAAGCCCCCAGTAGGGAGCTGCCACTATGGGCAGTGACACTTTTGCTTCTCTCCTCTTTTCAGGAGCTCCACCTGGAACACCAGTTCATCTGCAAGACTCACACAGAAGCAGCAGCTGGGGTAGCAGAAATATGGCCTTTTCCATGTACATTCTTCTGATCCTACACTTACAGCAACTTTTACAAGCAACAAAGCCTGGAGAGATCCATTCACTTTATTTTAATGAGAGAAATACATCCAATTCAGTTAACCAACATAATATGTATTGCTACAATAAACTGCCCTAGAGCTTTAAGTCATCTCCAGCACTAATAGGAACAGAACTTTAGCTATCTGTCTATAAAATACTGCAACAGAAGAACTGAACAGATGCCCCAGAGCCTTTTCCCTGAAATCCAGCAGCAGGTAAACAAGAGTAAGACAGGAATGGCTGTACCTGTGGACCTTCCCTCCATAGAAGGGCTTGGTGTGGAAGGTGACCGTGGCAGAATAGCCCGTTCTGGCACAGTTGATGTTGACTTTCCCTCCAAGCTCCACCCATGGGATGGTAAGGATTGAGCGAGCGTAGGCACTGGGCAGGGTGAAGACATACTCCTCTTCATGTTCCAGCAGGTGAAGAACACCTGTGCAGGAAGAGGAGAAAGTGAGGCGATAAAGGGTTCACTGATAAGATCTGATGGTCACTGACCAATTACCACCATCAAAATGCACATCCATGGAGAACACGTGCAGCTCTCCTTGAACGAGGGCACTGTCTGCTAGGAAACTCTGCTCTCTAGAACAAGTTTCTTCCAACAAGCATTTTCAAAAGCATCCCATTTGACTGAGCACCCTGACATATTGACTGCTACCAAACAACTTCTCAGAAAATCTGACTGGATTCCTTACTTTGTATTACTGTTAAAAGCTGGATAAACATAGAATGTCCACCTAAAAAGCCATACTGAAAATTCAGATGCTCTCTCAGTGTTGTACCATAATCTCCCTCCATAAAAAATATGGGCATGGCCAAACGACTGTTCATCTCTCCATTCAGTTAGAAACAGCCATGTCCTCCACTAATTTCCTCTTGATGCTGTGAAAGGCTGTAAGTCTCTGTGGGTACAATAAGAAAACATGGCATCTACAAATTTCCTATTAACTTTGCTCTTTAATTTCATAATGCCTGGTTTCTCACACAGGCTTTGAAAAAATCTTGCATAATCAAAGAGGTGCCCAGCAGGGCCACTGCTCTATTAGCACCAAGTCCAATGTCTCTACCAGGCAGAGAAAATTACTGGTAATTCCATCTCTTTCTGTAAAGGTCCCTCCACCCTCAGCACCATGAGGCTGTAACTAAAAACAGCACACAACAGCAGCAGTTTTTCAACATTACTTGGAAGTTGCACAAAGAAAGTTGCTTTCCTGATCAGACCTTTGCAGCTTCCCCTGGGGCTAAGGGTACAACTCTATCCCCATAAAATCTGTAGTTTGGTCTTCAGGGTAACAGGACATAAGACCAGGAAAAGAGCACCATAAACCTCGCACACAGAATTAGATCATGCCAAATGTCTGCAGTGTATTTTTTATTATAGTTTTACAGTCTTTTGTGTCCCATTTACTAACTGCCTAAAGGCAAAAATGACAGCTTTGAAAATACTTTTTCACAACAGGGACTGAAAATAACCTATCACAGGAAGAACTCAGAACCCAGAAATATTTGGAAATAAAAGAAAGGAAAGTTATTTTGACACAGTAATAGTATCTGTTTAGTAGCAAGATAAGCTTGAGCCCATTTGCCTTCACCCTGGGGCAGGCAGGGGAAGAACACACTGTTAGTGGTATTGATTAATCTATCTGTTTAAGGGAATACTGACACTACTTTTTCAAAGTGATCTCACATTTAATGATGAAAAAGCACTAAATAGGAACATAACACTACTGCTGCCAGTATGAAAATATGCCTTTAACACTGCATGGAAAAAACAAACTTAAATTAAAACACACTCAAAATTAAAAGCACAGAGCTCTAAGGGAGCCCTGATCTTGAATATTGGCTCCAGCTAACAAAACTAAATACAGGCACAGGAAACTCTGCAATTTGTCACTTCTGCCTTCTGAACTATTTCACAGGAAAACATTTGCAAACCAGAACAGCTTCATGCAGTTGTTCTCAGAACCTCTGCAACCTCGGCCTCCCAGCAGCGACACAGCCAGCACATCCACTCCGGCAGCTCTGACACAAGGAGCTGGGAGTGCAAAAGCATGCAGAAAAGCCGTGTCTTCAAAGGACCTTTAACCATTTAGTCTTGGACAGCTACAAGCTCCTCACATCACGTGCTGAGCCCTCACCAGCAGGGAAAGGCCAGGAGGACACAGCCAGAACACACAGACACGTTTTGCCTCAAGCTTCCTCGGCTTCACACCTGCACAGACATCCAAGCAGGAAGGCTGAACTACCCAACTCACCCTGGACATGCAGACAGGAATAACTTACACTCAAAAAACTACTCTGGTTATCAAACTCATTAAATGGATGCTATAATAGCATTAAGTTAATAAAGAACAATTTTTGTAGAATCACAGAATGGCCTGGGTTGGAAGGGACCTTAAAGATCATCGAGTTTCAACCCCCCTGCCATGGGCAGGGACACCTTCCTCCAGACCAGGCTGCTCAGAGCCCCATCCAACCCAGCCTTGAACACTTCCAGGGATGGGGCATCCACAGTTTCCTTGGGCAGCCTGTTCCAGTCCCTTAATACCTCCTCAGTAAAGAATTTTTTCCCTAATATCTAACCTAAACCCACTCTCTCTCATTTTAAAGTCATTCCCCCTTTTCCTGCAGCTACATGCCCTCGTAAAAAGTCTCCCTACCTCTCCCAGTCTCTTCTGATCACCACTGTATGTGATGTTCCTCACGTGAGAGGGAACTGGTATGATAAACACAATTTCCTTATGGGTCAGTACAGGTTTGCCTCTGTCCCCCTGATGGGATCAAGAGCTTTTTCTCCCTAGTCAGGTGGGAGGGGCTCAGAGCTGCAGTGCTGCCAAGCACATTTAAAGTGGAGAGCAAACAGCAGCAGTGACCTTCAATGTAAATATTTAACCACCACAGCAGGTTAGATATTAAAAACTGAACCCAGCTCTCTTGGCAGTATTTTTAGCACCTGGTAGCATATTTTCTGAATTCCTTGAACACCTGAATAAATACATTTTTTAATGAAGCACTATCTCACTTGAAATATGACTCCAGCTCCATAATTACAGTCTAAAAGAGATTAAAGGGCTGATCTGAAATACCCATGACTTGATAATACTTTTAGTATTAACCTGACTGTTTTGCATTCCATTGTTCACAGAGCCCACATGCAAAGCCTCATTTAAATGAAGCACCAGAAACACTGTGGCTGCACCAGCAAATCTGAACAGAGACCTGCGCTCCCTTAGGGGAGAGGAAGCCAAAAATTACACTGAGATTCAACATTTGTAACAGGTACCACAATTTGAAGTAACTCCCCACCCAGCCAAGTGTCAATCTTGACAAATTATAAGCCAATTAACTGAAAGCTAACAGTTACTTTACAATGTGTCATTTTTACATCTGCTTATAATCATTACATTGCAACTGATCTTTCAAAACAACTGCTGGAAAATACACAGGCTATTTTTCTTCCCTTGCTTCCCCTGCTGTAAGGGATGATTCAAGTTTAGTTTGAAAATGGCTATAAAGTAAATACACATGAAAAGCTGTGGAACATTCTCCCATTTTTAGTTTTTTCCCTCTCATATCTAAGAGTTCTTTCAAAAACTTCCAATTCCTTTAAAAAAAAATCTGAAGTATTTATAGGCAACAATTACACAAGGAAGAAGTACACCAGACCAGCACTCTGGGAGGAACAGTGGATTTAGTAATCTGGTTTGTCAGGAAAAAATGCTACAAAGAAGGGTAAATTTGTTAAAAACCATTGCAGGATATTGAAATTCCCCCTTGAAATGTCCTCAGCACCATTTACTCCTCCTTTTGACTACACAGTCACACCCCTATCCATGAGCCCTCAGCCTGCATTAAAGGAAGCCATGGGCTTGGCATATCACTCTCCCAGTTTGACTCTTACATGTCCCTCACTGATGCTGCAGCTTTGTGAATTGATTTCCCAGTAACACGTATTGACAAAACAACCCAGAGGAGGCTCTGGATCAATAAGCTGCAGAAGAGACATGTGGGATTTAATGCTTCCCACTGCCTGCATGGAGATCAATCTGAACAACAAATGGCACATGGGACACCAGGGGCCAGGGGCAGTTTCCCCATTTAAGCAGCTCTTCACCCTGTCTGTTTTTCCCATAACACACAGAGAGGAACAAGGTACGTGTGGGCTGAGCCCCACATGGATGCTGGGCATCACAACTGCCCAGATCCCAAAGGAAAACAGGAAATGCCAGAACTGGGCTCCTATTGTCTCAAACCTTCCAGGCAGCTGTGTTGAGCACTGCTCATTTTTCAAAGCCTGGAACGATTTGCTAAATTAAGTAACGAGTGCCATGCTATATGAAAATGGTTCTAAAAACACTGGGCTAAAAATATTAATGCAAAAATGAGGACTGAGGGAAATTCTTAGGTAGCTGTAATTGCATGGAGCAATCAAGCTTTGGGATTGGTAAGTTTTAAGTCACTCATTTATCAGTAAGAGAAATTATAGACCTGTACATCTATCAATACATACACATATATGTACTTGAACAGAAGGGGAAAAAAAAAAAAAAAAAAAGAGAGGAAAAAACATTCATTGCTCTCTTTTAAATTTACCCTGGAAAGAGCACTGAACCTTCTACCCAGCTATCAGATCTTTTCAAGTTGATTTCAATTTAGACAAAATAATTTTGGAAGCCTATACCTCACTACTTTTTAAAACATTTAAAATAGCAGAAGTGAAAACATCAGATGTAACTAGCCACTTGACAATACAAAGCAATCCATTTAAATGTACTTTATGCTCTCTACAAAATTAACCCATAAATCAAAGATGACACTTTTTGTTGGCTTTTGCTGCTCTGAACCAAAATCCAAGAGCAGAAAAGGAACAGGCACAGCAGGCACTAAGGTGTGCTCACCACGGCATCCTTACCCCACAACCAGTATCCTTTTAAAGATTCTATGGACCATGCAAAAACCATTAAATATTTATATTGACTTTCTCATCTTTTGCTAATTTAAATCTTAATGCGACCCTGTTCATTACAGCCTCATCTTCTCCCTCACTCTTTCATTAGTACATAATTAACATTAACCAGAATTAGGGACTGCGCATGCAACCTAAATTCTTTTATGCAAAATACCCTCTTTTCTATTCCGGGTGGCTTTCTCATGAGGAAACTCAGTGCTGACTACTCTGAAGAATGGGGGTTTTGTCATACAGCAAAGAAAAGTTGCAAGATTTCATTAGCAAGCCAGATTTAGAGCACTCATAAACAGAAATGAAAAAAAGGCTAGCATATAAAACAGCTCCCCACATGGATTTCCAGCAGTGCTCTCCCAATTGTTCTGCATCTCTGCAGCTGATAGTTACTTTGAATCAACAAACAAAAACCACAGACAGAAAAAAAATATCTTAGTCACTTTGAGGTGCGACGTACAAAAAAATGACACCACTGAGACACTGAGCTGTAGCCCTTGTGTGCCAAGACCATACCATCCTTAAATCCCCTAATTCTTTAAATTCCTTTATAAACCTTTGTACTTCCATGATATTCTATGTCAGCTTCTAAGAAAAAGCATAAAAACCAATGTGCTCTATACATCTAAGGACTTGCTACAAAAATATGATTCAAAGCCTCCACAGACACATTACCATATTCCTTACACACTATAGGTCCAAAAATTTAGTACCATTTTCTTTCTGCAAATAGACAACTGCAATAGAAAAAGCTTCACTGAACTGTTGCAGGGACACATTGTATTGTTCAGTAGAGAGCAAACTTTCAAAACACACCACAGTTGCTTTATTGAACATTAGGCTACAATGAAGTTTCTGGTCATTGTCACAGAATCATAGAATGGCCTCTGTTGGAAGGGACCTTAAAAATCATCTTGTTCCAAACCCTCTGCTGTGGGCAGGGACACCTTCCACTAGACCAGGTTGCCCACAGCCCCATCCAACCTGGCCTTGGAAACCTCCAAGGACAGGGCATCCACAACTTCTCTGTGCAACCTGGTCAGACAGAACTGTAGTGATACATATCTGACTAGAGCAGGATGGTCACTCACTACCACTAAATTATCCAAAGCATTAATTACAGTTCTCTAACACTCTGTCTGGAAGGATGTTTTTCCCCTCTAACATATCAATTAGTACGGATTTAATCTGTAGTATAACGAATCTAATATTGAACCAACAGCAGAATTATTTAACCTGAGTCTCAAAACAGACACAGGTATATTAGAGGCATCAAGGAAACTGTATTTCAAGTAACATGATGCCACATCTAAAATCCTTTCTGGTCTTACAAGAAGTGAAAGGCCTCCACATGTATGTAATTTAACTCCAGCAACAGGCAAAAAAAAGGGCTGAATGCTCATAATGAGGGGAAATTAAAAAAAAAAAAAAGAGACAAGACAAAATGCCAACAATAGCACATGGTTAGTTTGGTCATCCAATGCACAGTAGCAAAAAAACCCCACAACAGCCAAAACCCAGAGATTTTGAGGATCCATGAGATGTTACTTTGTCTCTCATTAAAAGTAGGATCAGTGATACTTCATTCCCCAGAAACTCACTTAATCTGCTTTTAAAAGACTAAACAAGATTCTACAACCTTACTAGCCAACCTTGGTGTGTGAAAGTTTCTCCAAGGAGCTAACTTTAGTTTCTACCCACCTTAAGCAGCTTCATGTGCCTTCCAACTAACAGCACCTTTCCACAGTCCAACTAACTTTGCTAGACTAATCCATCCCATATGAAATGTTGCAACTCTAACACATCCCTAAACACAAGGAAAAATCTCCAAATTATATTTCACATTACAAAAATTATTAGGCACATAAATACAGGCTTAGGTTTTCTACACTTTTAGTCCAACAGCTCCTTTTTGTCAGTTCAGCAATCTATTCCCTGATACTCCCACTGACCTCAATCTACTACAGAATTTATACTTATGCAGCACATAAGAAAGAAGCATCTGCAGTAGATTCTAATTTTTACACAGCTTGACAAACCCACACACCAACTTAATCACGAAGAGTTCCCTAGACCTAAAATAAATAAACAAAAAAATTAAAGAAAGTGCAGTTTAAAGTGAAGGAACTGCACTGCAAAACTGGTATTTTAAACTGAGGCTGTCAGGCTTAGGCTTGCTGTTTTCAGATGACAGAAAAGCCTCAGTGGTACAACTTCTTGCTGCCCATTGCCAGTCCTCAACATGGAACAGAAATGCCTGGGCTGCACTGAAGTGTCTCCTCACTTCCCAGAAATGCTGTCACTGTGAAGGTCCCTGCTCTTGCACTGCTTACATGAACAAAATGCTGAATAGTAACTATGAACTGGTGAACCCAGACTTCCTCCCAGCATGCACATCACAAATACAGCAGCAAACCTTGGAATAAAAGAGTTTGCTACTGCAGATGTTCCCCAAAGCCCGCCTCCACTCCTGGGATGTCTCCAGGATCATGAAAAAAAGAAAGAGCATAGGGAAGAATGTTATTCTCATAAGCACACATTAAACAATCCTTGGGGTGAGTAAGCAGTTAATTCTTAGACCCTTTCTCTCTCAGAACTGGGACACATCAGGACTTTGAAGTCTTAAATAATCCCCACAGTAGACACCCCCAATCCCAGGGAACTTGTGTGTGCTAGCAGCAAGAGAAAGAAATTTCCCTACTCCTACATAATCATAAGTGACTTTGTGTTTAATTTTATTTCCATTAAAGAGTTCCCTTCACTGAGCAAAAGAGTACTAGAAATGAACATGTACCAGAAAAACGCAGAATGTTAAGCCAGTGACTCAGGCTGGCAGTAGTACAGGCAGGGGACAGACAGACAGACAGACCAATTTCCATTCTGACACTCCCTTCCCAACTCCCTTAACTCCAGATTCAAAGCAAAATACCTAAATCATAGGAAGAAGGAAACACAGGTGCTAACATAGACTTTATCACAAGGGCATCAAAACCAGTAGTAAGGAGGTTTCATGCCTCTTCTATTAAAAAAGGGAATATATTGCCATCAGGGAAGGACCTGTATTTTTCACCATAGTTATTTTGTTGCTATTAATAAGCAAAACCAAACCACTGCATTTCCCACTCCATTTTTTTTTAGCCTTTAATACCACAGTACTTAACATAATGGTGACAAAAAGAAGCAAGTTGTCTTCATACTTCTGAGACTACAGTCCAAGAACTAGTTAAGGCAAAACACTAAAATCTATACATCTTACCCTCATCCATAGCATCTTACCCTCAAATGGGCAAAGGGATTAAATTGCTTAGAAACACACATCTCAATGCATTAACAGTCAGTGTGAACACTGGTACAAATGTGTGCATCAGTTCAGATCATCCATTAAGGATTTGTTATGACTCCCTGTATTTCTGAACTCAAGCTGGGCAGTGATTTATCACAATGCAGACTGCATGTGTATGACACGGAAAATCAGGATTCACACCTCTAACACGTGACTTTCTAGAAAGCTTATGAAAATACACAAAATTTGCAAACACTACAGAAATCATGATTCCTTGCAGAAACTATGAAAAACAAATGTTAGATTTATGCAAAAACATGTCCCTTCTCATTGCTTTGTTCCAATAGTGAACACCAAATCCCATATTACTTTAAAAGTGACCAAAAATGTTCTCACAGAATATGCTATAATTTGGCATTAGCTATTATAACTTAATTATTTCTGAAGTCTGGCCACATATATTTACAGAGTCTTATCAATATAATCACACATTTATATATGCAATGTGCATTTCACGTTCTGTCTGGACAGCAATAGGGTATATGAATCCTACAGTTTTAATTCCAAACTTCATAAAAGCAAACAGTCGTAAGGTTCAAATGAAAGGTCAGAAGGGACAGCAAGTAGGAAAACATTTGGATTTCTGTTGACACCCAGAAATATTAGCTAAAAAAAAGCAGAATAAAAGCACATTTCTTACCTTCACCTACCATAGAAACACCTATTGACATGCCCATGAACTTGCTTTTGGTCCATACGTGAGCGTTCACACACATTTTCTTCTCTTTGCACTCACAGTAAAAGCAAGATACTGGTGGATGATGAGACACTTGTTCGGCTACAAACCTCAGCTTGTAGCACGTGGACTGGTCCTGGCCAAGCTCCTTGGCTGAGTCCTTAGAAAGCGTGGAGGCACCATTAGTTCTGAATGCTTTCACTTTATCTTTAGGCACGTCCCACGAGCAGTGAAAGGTTTCACCAATTATGGGGTTATAGGGCTTCTTGGCAACTGCTCCCTTTCGGCCTTCGTGAAAAGCTGTTAGATAATACTCCACAAAGCAGACAATTCTTTCCTCGGGAGTGGCTCCAGCTGCAATTGACAAAAACAGGTCTGGATGGGCCATGAAATTTGCATACATCTCCAGCAGGGATCTTTTCTCCAAAATAAATGTTGGAAGCACTACCTGTATGCAAAGCAGACAAAGGCATATATGATTTCCCTGTGATCACACTACTGAGGGGAAAGGGGGAGAGGGAACAGTTAGCACAGCTGTAATTCTGACCCTGCCAAATTTTGGGACAGCATATTTCCCTCCCATGCCACAACAATTTAATTTTCTTTGCAGTGTAAATAATGAGTGAAGGAAAAAGCAGTGGCCTTGATACCCATGCAGGCTGCTTCCTATTTCATTATGACTTTCAAGAGCAGCTCACACAACACGGATGGGCTGTATCACACTCATGGAAACCCACCTTTTCCTCTCCTCTCAGTTAACAAACCAGCCATTGTTTTCCTTGTTTACAGGACACAAAAACATACTTTGATATAAACTAATGTACACCAAACCAATGTCAATGTCAACAAACCAGACTAATCACAACCCTCCAAAATGGGAGGGGCACACCCTCCCAAACCACCAGAAGATGAGTATTTTATATGAACGTACCAGTCACCAACCTCTAAGTGGTGGAGAATGTAAGGGGTACATCCATCCCTTCTGTCAAACATCTGTGCTCCATATTTCACCCCTGGGCTGCTGACCACCCACTCTACATGGATTGGGTCCCTTCCAGCCTCTAACAAACCAACCCAAGGAGATCCAACCACAACCAAATCTCCAGTCTATTTCCATCCCAAGGAGCCTTCCCAAGAGGCTGTAGGCAAGAAAGCACTCCCCATTTGCCCTAGCATGTCATCAAATGTCATGTCTCCCACAACTCCCGAGTCAAATCCCTTGCCATCCCTAAGATCTCCTGTCTCCCCCAAGCCCATGGCACACGCCCTCAGTTTCAGATGGTACCATGTCACTGTGGTGGGCCCCTGCATGGCTTCACTTCAGACAAGTTGAAACAAAAACTGCACAAACCATTACATTCATATCATGGGAAAAGAGAGGCTCCCGTGGGCCCAGAAAAACACCTGGGGCTGAGCACTAGGCAGCCTGCCCAGGAGGGAGCCAGCCCCAAGTGATTTGAGTACAGTCTCAAGGGCCCTCTCTAGCAACGCAGATGCTGCCAAGGTCACTCCACAATAACACTTTGTTGGAAGTTTCCAGTGAAACATCCTGGAGGGCACTGCAAGGCAAACAAGGGCTAAGGGACACAATTTATTTCTCTCCCTTCTTTCCCCCCGTGCTCCCCACGCTGTGCAGGTCCATCGCAGGGGAGCTCAGGGGCTGCTCTCGCGTGACCAAAAGGAACTTCTGGCACACACAAATTTATCTTATGTGAATCCAAGTGGCTCAATGATGCCAGATGCAAATCAACAGCTATTACAGCAATTCTTCTGCTTTCCTCTTTAAATTTTCACTGCATTTTCACTTTAAATTTTTACTTTTTCCCTTTCCCAAAAGCAAGGGTTATTTACAGCAGGCAGGGAGCCACTGTTTGTCACAAACACATTTGCTTTCCCCCTGCTGGTCCAGCTTGCTATTCTAAGTGGGACCAAAGCACAGATCAGCCCTTTTGGATCCCATGGATAATGAAATAGAAGCTTTCAAACTTTTATTAATCATTCAGCCCTTCTCAAAGAGAACTTGTAAACAGGAACAAGAATTCCAGTCACAGCAGCTCAAACAGAGTCTTTACAGCTACACAGCAAGTCACAGTACCTTCTGCAAAAAGAGAAAACTGCTGTGTCTGGTAACTTATCTGCTTATTGGCTCTCTTCTGTATTTTATATTTACACATACAGCCCTTTATAGGCTAATAATTTTTACAAGTTCAGATATCAATCAAACAAAGTTCCATCTGTAATATTCCTCTGACTCTACTCTCTAAGCCTTGAGGACTCCACATGATTTCTGCTACCAACCTATTGAGGCCCTGAATGATGGAGGACCTTAATTTTACAGTGTGTGCGGCAGACTGAGCGCTAAAGACAGCATACAGTGCTGGTGGTGTGACAGTGGCAGGCTGAGGAGATAGGTTTTCAAAAGTGAAATCCAAAATTTTGAAGGCAAAGTGGGATAGCCAGTAGAGTTTGGTTTTGTTTTATTTTTATTTTTAGCTCTTTAAACAATTCCATCTTATTTGCAGCATTCTCATTCTGACCAAATATTCATTATCCAATATAATCTTTAAAAAATGCAATTCAGCAGTTGAGATCCTCAATTCAAGATCTCATTTTAATACAAATTGTATACTAAAAGATCAGGTTACTAGAGGGGAAAGTGACAACAAAACATATAAAAATCTCCCATATTTTCTACCTAGAAATACCAGTGGTGCCTTTGTGAGTTCACTGCAGAGACCTCAAAGGGCAAACTCATTTGAATAAACAGCACTCTGCATCCCACTATGGCCAAGAGCCTCCCTCTACAGACAGTGACCTTTATTAGCACAAACAGAGGAGAAGAAAACTGCAGACCATCCTTCAGATGATGTATATTTTATGGTACAATGCTAACACTGCCATGGTTTCATCCCATTGTTGTGGTCATAGAGTCTTGGTACCTCCTCCCTTAAGCCCTAGATGTGTGCTTTGCTAAACCCAGCTACACCAGCACTGCCACCAGATGAGATGTGATGAATCACTGGCCTCTAACTACTGAGTTTCAAGAATCAATTTAAAATCTGAGTAAGGTCTGAACTCCAACTCAAATGATCTCACTTTAAAAGCCCAACTAAGCTGGAAATTACATCCTTAGTTGTGGCAGGAAAGGATCCACCGAATAACTGAACTGTTTCCACACAAGGAGGCAGAACTATGAAATAAAAATATTTTAAAGTTTACACAACTGCATTATTACAAAATATGCATACAAAACATGGCCTTTTATTAAATAATCTCACAGCCTCAAAGTTTCAATATGCAACACCACCACACACTCATATAGCAAAAAAAAAAAAAAAAAAAAATCACACCAATAAATTTTTTAATTGTCCCTATCTTGATTCCTGCAGAAATAAGAAAAAATAGAAATAAACAAATTTGCAAGTTTACAGAATTCTTCTTGTCAAGAAGCTGGGCTTCTTGTCAACAGCTTGGGCTGTTGTGCACTGGTGCCAGCACTCCAGCTTTTAAAGGAATGAGCTTTTTAACTTTTCTGCAGCCAGACAGAATGAACTGTCCAGAAAAATAAACTTAGGACCTATATTCTTTATGTTGGCTTTAGACAGGACTATGAATTATTTTTTAAATTGCATATGAAGTCAAAACTGACTAATTTTTTCCTCTGAGAAAATGCCAGCATGACAACCATTTGGACAAAAGAAACACTCTACAATAAATACCAAGTTGCTGAAGTCTGAAGCAAAAAAATCACCTCACTGCATTCTAAAATGTTAGAACAATCTATTCTTACTCTCTCTCAAGCTTCAGATGAAATGAAAGCAGTTTAAGAGGCATTCTTCCATTTTCATTGAGGTTGAAAAGACAATACTGGTTGAAAACTTGATTATAACCTCCTAGGTCTGAATTCACTTAATTAGATCTGAATGCAACTGAGAAAAATGAGCACAATGTCTTAAGAACAGAGATATTCATCCCCACTATTATTTACTGTGAGGAAAAACATGGGTGTCAGCATCATTCCCTAATTTTTTCAGAAATCCAGCCAAGGTACTTCATGCTGAGATATCTTTCTCTTAGAGGTGTAAAAGCTTTCTTTTCACTGTCATCTGTGTCACTGTGGGAATAAAATAAGCTAAGTTTCATGCCACTTACATTTTAAAATTGCAAGGTAAAAGAATATTGGCAAGCAAAGTAAAAACTTATGACATCGTGAACAGACCACAATGTTAATTTACAACAGGTTGACATTCTGCAGAATTACTGGAAGCCCCTTTACAAAGAATGGCAACCCTTTACCTTTAGCACCTATTAATTGTGTAAAGGAAGGTAGGGGAATGCAGGGGAGTGATCACCCATCTGTACAAGCTGTTAGCATTAACTATAATCCATTAGATGCCATTTGCCAATAAAGGCTGTCAGTGGATTTTGGCACTATTTTTCATTTTCCCAAAGTCTGAAGAACAAACAATTTAGAAACTTGGTTTTTTCCCCAGCAATTCTATTTTTAAATGAGGCTGAATGTCCTATCTCAGTCCGAAGCATCAGTTGTGTACCACATTCTGCTGCTGCGAACTGCTCCCCACCCAACTCTCCCCAGCAGCTGTTGAAGTCTATTTGGCCACCATGAAGTTTAGCCCCTTCTAGCAAATGCCCACACAGATTTAATACTTCACTGCAGGTGTTCTCCTTCACAGCAGTTTTTACTCCTTAACTCCTCACTAAAAGGCAAAGCATATGACACATTCCAGAAGTGAAGCACCTCCACAACACTAAATGCAGCTATCTTCACTGTGGGAAACTGCTGTCAGCACAGGCAAGGCCACGGCTAACATAAGGATGTTTCCTGTGATATGGAATGTGAAGGTAATGCTCATGCATCCAGAACCCAAAATCACCAAGGGCTCAGAAAAAGCTGTTTGTTCATGTGAGTATCATGCAGCAATCCACAGCTCTCAGAATGAACCAAAGACACAGCCCTAGGGAAGAAGGCACAGGAAATGGAAACATGTAAAAACATCCTCTAATATTAGCAACCACTGTGCCACAACCACTTCCAGCAGAAGGTGATAAGCATCAAGGTGCTCTGAAATCTGACTTTCACAGGAATAATGAAAAATGGGAAGAAGCTCAGCCAACAAACCCAGCTTTACTGTCAGATGTCAGCGGCCCTAAGGGCCTCATGTCAGTAAGCAAAGTTGATAAAAAAAGCAGCCAGCTGTCCTGTATTTTTTTTTAATCCTCAAAATGGGCAGAAAAGTGATGTGCACATGTGGCATGTCTCATTAATACTTATCATATGTGTATTCATGCATCACACAGACTACAAACAGATCTAACTCTGCCATATGCCTGTTCCTCTTCTCATTTCAACATTTATCATTATCTTTAAAAACCGTGCTCTAAGAACACTACGTAAGAAACAGGTTATCATGTATGTATTTACCTTAATATCTTTCTTGTAAGTGTCTACTCTTCTCTTATTTACAGGAATTTCTCTTACTTACATTAACTGTGTGTCTTTGGGTTTTGCCTACTCTGCCATGACAAGAAGATGATGGTGAAAATCAGGAAAGAAAAATCTTGTCTTTTGCCAAAGACAAATTGTTCTGAAGATGCAAGAACCACAGATAAGAAATCATAGCCTAGTTTGAACATTATAGACTCAGACAGCCTTAGAAAACCAACACAGAAAAGAGGAAGAGCTAAGAAAAAATGAGAATGTAAGGAAAAAAAAAAAAAACCAAAAATGAACTGTATATAACCCCAGACACACTAAAAAGTGACAAGTATAAATTATTCAAAACGAAATTATGAAACTTTCATTTTATTTAGAATAAAACATTCATTTCTGTGCAGCTACTCAGCAACAGAACACAGGATTGCTCAGTCTTAAAAATGTAATTATTTTAAAACACTGGCAATCGTTCCAGAGGAAGCAGGAAAAAGTATATTGAGAAAACTTTATTTTGTAAGAAAGTTACTGTTTTTGATTAACATGCAAAAAAAAGAAAAGCATATGAACTCTTCAGAATATCAAAATGCCCATGAGAACAACTTCCTGCAAAACTACTCCATGTGCCAGAGAACTTCTCTGGTCCTTCCAAATTTTGTATCACTTGTGGAGAGTGTCAGAATGAGCTCTTAAATTTTCTTATGTGAAAAGTGGACAACAGGATTTTTTTTTTTTTAAGCAGAAAACCCTTGTGCCAGGAAAGGATATTCCATATATTTACCAAAATCTGCTTGATTATTTATTAAGCCCCACAAGAAGGTTTCACTGGAATACAAGACTATTCAAAAAGAAGCACTCCTTGCTTCCTTAACATCCACCTCATTTCCAAAACTCTGTGGACTCAAGGGAAAATTTCTCTGTAATTTCTTTGCTTGTATCAGTATGGACAAGCTTGTGACAATACTGGTTCTAGAACTAGAAGAATACACAGAAGTTTAAACTGCTGAGCTGCTCAACACTGACAAGAACTGATACACTGAAGACTGTAATTTCTTTACCATCATGGGTTTTTTTGAAGCTGACTTGCAATTAAATGGAATCCAATCCACAAAGCAGTTATGAGAACATGTATATCCTTCATCCATACAACTGCCATTTTTTTTCCTCAAACTCCCAGTGCACCCTAACGTACTTGTGGGTTCCATACACAACATATGGTTACTCTGAAAGACTTGCAAAAAAATAAGCACGAGTGTTGGAGGATTTTTGTTTCTTCTTTTTTTTTTCTTTCCCTCCCCCTCCATCTACAAAATACCTGATGAGGTCACTTCATGTGAAAGCCTGCCTAGCAAGAGACAACACTCTATAGCTCTCTGGAACCACACTTTTATAAATAGGAAAGCTTGGCTGTCCACAGGGGCAAAACACACTCACAAGAACCGGCTGTGCACACAAACACACAGAAGAATGAGAAAAAAAAACAGTAAACAAATATAAAAGAGCTACAGTGCTCATACCCTGGTAAGGTCCATGCCAAGTTTGAGCTGAGAGATGAGATGGAGAATTACACTGCGTTGATCATCCATGACTCCTAAATCCTCCTCTTCATTATCTTCAGTATCTGTCATTTCATCTTCAACTAGGATCAACTCAGAAGCTGAGTGCTGAAATGAAAGAAACATCACCATCTGAACAAAAAGATACAGAATGGCTATTTTCTCCCCACTATATATGTTTAAAAATGGAGCTGTCTTGATAGAACTGAAGACAGCCTCTGTTAAAGCCAAGAAAAGATACAAACTCAAAATAAATAAAAAATCCAGTGATGGGTTCATAAAGCATTTTGATCCTTTCCTCAGAATGAGAGTACTAAGTAGGAGATCTTAATTTACACATTCTCTTCTCATATTTATACTGCAGTCAACTCAGATAAAACTCATAGCACATGTAAGTAACAAGTAATCTTTTCATTAAATAGAAATATGCAGTTGAAAATGAGTCTTCAAGTTTGCTTCATAAATCTCCCCAGCAAATATTCATGTCATACATAGATGCTGCATGACCCGATTTCACAGGTTTTTTCCTTTCTCTATCCAATTTCAAAGTCAGACATCTAAGAAAGTCAAGATATTAACTAAAGAAGATAAAAAGACAACTATAATTAAAGAACGCACCTCTGAAAAAAACCGAAAGACATTAAATTTTGGGAAGCAGAGCAATGCCATAACTCTTTATAACTATTGCAACACTTCATCACCTTACAGCACAACGCCCGTGCTGCTGAGTTTCCAAAAATACAAGCTGAATATCAATAGACAGGCACCATGCCAGTCCCTTCAAGAGGAACTTTACAGCAAAAGGGATAATGACTTGTGATATTTTATTTTTCCTCAGGGTTTACAATGTGTAACTAACAATAATCCAAACAGGTGGTAGTTACTTTGTTCAAGCCATTGAAACCACTCTGCAAGCCTTTCAGATATGTATTCAAGTAAGCTTTTTGTACTTCAAGGGGAAAAAAAACTGGGTTATGTAGATGAAAAATTACAGCCCAGCACGTCATTATTGCCCAAAGATTCCATGCTGTAAATGAGACAACACTCCCTGTAAAAGTTAGCATTCCTTCATGCTAAATTGCATTTCTGCAGGAACAGCTAGCTCATTACATAAAACAAGAAATTTTTCATCTCAGTGTGGAAGCCTACGCAACTGAAAAGTTTCACTAAAACCAGCTAATATCCAGAATCAGGTTTCAAGGGAATATTTCTGAATGATCACATTAGAGACCCCTCAGGTGAACTGCAGCTTGTGTAAGGGGAGTTTCTTTGAAATTAAGTTACTATGGAGGTTTCCAAGATTTGAATAAAGTACTTTTTTTAATTACTTAAATGTTTAGGTAGCTATTCTTAAAATAAAAGCTATTTGGTGAAGCCCAATGACATCTGCAAGACACTTCACAGTTGCTTTATTTAGAAAGTGGAATATGTAGATTACATAAAACAGAATCTGGTGAGCTGTAACCTCAACAGCTTAGAGCTTTTCAAAAGGACAAAACCACACTTTCTTCTTCCCACTCCCTCGGAAAATAAAAGGAGAGAAGATAAGCCCTTTTCTCCCAAAATGCACAGCATTATTACCCAACTGATGCCTCAATGACAAGTTCAATTAACGTAAAACCTGACAATCTCACACAAAATTATCAGTTGGGGAGGGATAAAGCACTGAAGCCTGGCAGAGTCATACAGGCTATGATTTATTTGGAGGTAGCAGGGAAAAAGCAGTATCAGAACTTACAGAAGATGCTTCCACAGGAGGCTTCCCTTTGATCCAGCTTGACCTCATTGAGAGCACTGAGCTACCGAAGAGGCTCTGCTGCTTCTGTTACTGCCATGAACCGAGCTTGCGGCAAACATGCTCCAGCAGGAATTAACAGCGCTACAAAAAAAGCAAGGGAACCTCCCCTCCTCACTCCCACCCCCTTTTTTTTTTTTTTTTCTTTGCTATCTGAGGGGTTGGAGAGTGTGCACCGGATGGCAATCTGCTCCTTGCGTTTCCAGTCACATGGCATTGAGATCAGTGGGCTTAAATGCACGCAGCTCCAACTGGGAAACGGTGCTGCTGTTCCCAGAGGATATCCTGATCGGCGGCTCTCCAGGAGGGAGAGGAAGGGGCACAAATTTGTGTGAGTATGCACAAGTGTGAGAGAGAAAGAGGACAGAAACAGAACATGCTAGCAGGTAACATCCTTCTACATGAACATAAAAAAGCTGCATAGCCTTAAGTAGCTAACAGCATCAGAAAACAAACTAATTACCCATTGCCAGTCTGCAGACTAAATTACATACCAAGAATTTTCTTTTTCTCCCAAAGATTGTACATTTACCCAGGGCCAGAAAATCCTTGTTTCCTTCTTTCTTGATGAAGTAGGTGTTAGGCTTCCCTTGCCTCTTAACTGTTACTAACAAAATAGCAAGCAACTCAGAATATTCTGTGAAATTACTCCTCTCTGCTACCCTGAAAAACATCCACGGTATGCCACCCTATGGACACTTGGGGTGCTCACTAAAGTAGCGTTTGCACTGCTCTAAATGAAAGCCTTTCTGATCATCAGGGAGGATGAGCACAACGTAACATTAGGATCAATTGTGTTTAATGAGCACACTGTAAAGACTAAAATTTTAATTACCTTTACTATTCCTATTCTAAGGACTTGTGCAAGGACACCAAAAAAACCACAACTCTGCTATTACAGTCATCAACACATTAGTGACCTTCAGTGAATGACATGCAGACAACTGCTCTTTTCTCACTTTTCGAGGAAAAAAATTTAAGGAAGCAGTTTACAATTCATGCTACAGGAACTGAAGAGCAGTCATCTTCAGAAAGCAATATCCTTTCTATATTTCCCCCTCTCTCCTCATTAGCTGTTCTACGTAATTATTAAATAAGTTTTTAGGAGCACATAAACTAACTTCAACTAATACATTTTCTTAAACCAACATGTAAGCACCACACAGTGTGAGTGGACACATGCAGTCACAAGATACAAAGCTAGTGCATCTTTAAAGTGTCATAAAAGTTCAACCATTCTTTAATTCTTTTTCTATCCATGAAAATAGTGTGCAGTTTAGTAGTATCCAATGCGTAAGCATTCAGCAGAATGCAAAGGATTATGTGGGCTGATTATCCTTTAACGGCAGCTTTAACTATCAGACACAGACTTTTTTTACCTTGTCCTGTAAAACATAACTGCACAACTGACCTAGGAAAGCAGTGATCTGCTCCACCCCGGTGTGGTAAGAGCACAAAGTAAAAGCTATTGAGCTGTGCACTGCCCAGCTGGGGAACGAACAGCACAGCCTGCCTTAGGTGCTGACCCTGAGAAATCCAATACTGAACCAGTTACAAACAACCACAAAAAAAGGGGCTCATATTTAAAATCATTTAAATCAAAATCGGTTTCCAATACTGGACTGAAGCAGCAGCATTTTTCAGAAAAATCTGAAGAGAAAATAAAAGACAATTTCTAAAAATCCCAGGAAGAGATGCACTTCAAAGTTTAAATGCCAAAGACATGAAAATACACACCGGCAGAGAGCTATTTTAAACAGGTCACCTCATTAGAGCTGAGATCGATTAATTTAGAGAGGTCATCTGCCGGGACACAAAATGGATGTTCTAGTCAGCAGTCTCCATCAGAAAACATGCTGATTCTTTTTTAACAGATGAAATCTGTAAGGGTAAGAAATTGTTTCTGAAGGAAACATTCTGCATTTTTAAAAAATGGAAAAACACAGTGGGTTGTTTTTAGGAAAAACACACTAACAAACCTGGGATAAAATCACAGTCAAAAGCTATACTTCTGTGAAAGGGCAAATGTGCCTCTGTCCTTCTACAGCTTCTTCCACAAGTTAAATTTTCAAATCAACTGTTAGGTAATTAATACAGACATACAGCTCGGAGCTTCATTTTCCAACATACTCCACAAACCACACAATGCAACAATACATTCAAGAATGACCTGGGTCTCATCTTGGTTAGTTTTTTGAGGGGCAGAAAGGAACACATAGAATCAGAGTCTCATTTAGGTTAGAACAGACTTCTTGGCATCTTCTTGTCCCTTACCCTGCTCAAGCACATGCATGTAGAACCAGTTGCCCAGGACCATGTCCAGCTAAGTTCTGATTATCTCCAAGGATGGAGACTCCACAACTTCTCCGGGCAACCCATGCCAGTGTTCAGTGCTCTCCACAACAGAAGTGCAATTTCTGGTGTACAGATTCACTTCCAAGTGCCCACTGCCTCTTGTCTTGTCAATGGGCATTATTGAGAAAAATCTGTCTCCCTGTTCTTCACTCCTGTAAGATATGTATATGTACATTGATAAGATACACTTGAGCCTCCTCTTCTCCAGGCTGGACAGTCCCAGCTCCCTCAGCCCCTCCTCATGGGAAGGATGCTCCAGAACCTTCCTCATCTTTGGGGCCTCTGCTGGACTTAGCCCACTAAGTTCATGCCCCTCTTGCACTGGGGAGCCCAGAACTGCACACAACACTGCAGATGTGGCCTCACCTCTGCCAAGTAGAGGGGAAGGATCTCAACCTAGTGGCAACACTCTTCCTAATGCAGCCCAGGAAGCTGCTGGGCACAAAAATATTTTTGTTGGTTCATGGTGAGCTTGTTGTCCCCCAAAATCTCTGCAGAACTGCTTTCCAATCAGATGTCTTCCAGCCTGTACTGGTGCAAGAGTTTACTATCAAATATCCTCCAGATAACAGGAACTGGCACTTCCTTGAGCTTATCTTTAAGGGCCTTCTCTGTGTCCAGACTGCCAAGATTTCTCTCTCTCTCTCAATAGCAGCACTCAATCCCCTGGCTCATCAGCCACTCCTCCCAGGTTTTCACTCTCAGGAGCTCACTCTGCATCATCATGCAGAGGTCATTAATGGAGATGTGGAACAGTGCTGGTCCCAGTATGGACCCCTGAGGTACACTGCTAGTGACTGGCCTCCAGCTGGGCCTTGTACCACTGATTACAACCCTCTGGGCTGAGTTGTTCTGCGAGGATGTTAGGGAAGACAGGGTCAAAAACCTTACCAACATTAAAGCCAACAACATCCACTGCTCTCCCCATAAGCACCAAGCTAGTCACCACCATTGTGAG